GGGGACAAGTCATTCCCGATACCAATCAACAAGGTACCTTGGGGGTTGGTGCTCAAGCAGAAATAATTGAGTGGAGGTGGATATCAGTGGTCATCTGGTTGGCAGGAGACCGTGCAAACTTGCTTTAACCTCACCAGGAGCTTTCTTGACTAGTAGGCTCAGAATAGCTCCCAACAGATACACTTTTGCTCACCTTGCTCTAGCCACGGTAGCCTCTCTTTCCTCAAGTATGCTTCAGGGTTTTTGCCCTGGCTATTCCTTTTGTGTGGAATGCTCTTCCCTCAGATATTTGCATGGCCACTTTACCTCCTCAGGTCTTTGTTCAACTGTCACTCCCTGAAATGTCATCCTATTCTAACTACACCATTTATAATTGCTGTCCCCTCCTCTGTCCAAGCCTCTTATCTTGAATGAATTTTCTTCATAGTACCTATTTCTAGATTAAAAAAAAAAATAGGCAAACTGTGATATTGTGAAAATATATTTGGTCTGTGTTCCTGGACCCTGGCCAGAGCTCCTAGAATTTCCTTTAAAAATTTCCTCTGTGTTAAAAGGGATAGGCATCTTTTGTTATAATACTTGGTTTTTGTAAAGATGAAAGGAACTTTTGTTATTGAGCTTTTCTCAGCCACACCTTAGTTTATGTTAATGAGGTGGCTTTTACAAAGTGTCTAAGGACTTCGTGGGAACCAACCATGTGTTTAGAGGGTTGGGACTTTCAGCTTCCCTCCCATCTGCCTCCTCCTCCAGAGAGATTGGGTTAAATCACCAGTGGCTAATGTTTTAATCAATTACACCTCCTTAATGAAGCCTCCCTAAAAAACCCTAATGGAAGGCCTTGGAGGGCTTCCAGTTTGGTGAGGAGGAGGTGCTGGGAGGGTGACGTGCCTGGAAAGCGCACAGCAAATCTGCACCCCTTTACTCATACTTTGTTCCCTGCAACTCTTCCATCTGGCTGTTCCTGAATTGTATCTTTTCATAATAAAACAGTAATCTAGTAAGTAAACTCCTGAGCTCTGTGAGCCGTTCTACCAAATTGTTGAACCCAAGGACAACCTTAAATATATGGCAGATTAGTCAGAAATACCAGAGGTCTAGGCTTCCGGTTGTCCTCTGGAGGGGAACTTGTAGGGCTTAGCCCTTTCCCTGTGGGATTTGACACTAACTCCATGTGAATAATGTCAGAATTGAGTTAAATTGTTGGACATGCAGTCATTGTTTCCAGAGAATTGGAGGACTGGAGGACTGAGGAAAAAATACACAAACACACATACACACATATACAGTAAAACCTTAGTTTACGAGCATAATTCTTTCCAGAAACATGCTTGTAATCCAAAGCACTTGTGTATCAAAGAGAATTTCGAGAACCATTGGTTCAGTTGTGATCATGTGACATTTGGCTTCGTGTACTACTCATATTGCAAGACATTGCTCATTTATCAAAACATTACTAGAAATATTTGCTTGTTTTGTGGAAAACTTGCAGAGCAAGTTACTTACAATCAAGTTTTTACTGTATATATAGACTGTGTATATATGTATATGTATCTGTGTATATATATATGTGTGTGTGTAAATGTATTTGTTTACACACATACTCACAAGTTGTCCTTTGGTGCGTATATACTTTGTATTAGTTTTCTAGGACTACTATAAAGTACCATAAACTGTGTGGCTTAAACAAAAGTTTATTTTCTCACAGATCTGGAGGAAAGAAGACTGAGATCAGGGTCCCCAGGGTTGGTTTCTTCTGAAGACTCTCAGTTTGGCTTGTAGACATCTGTCTTCCCCTTGTGTCTTCACATGGTCTTCCCTCTGTAACTCTGTCCAAATTTCCTCCTCTTATAAGGACACCAGTTATATTGGAGTAGGGCCCACCCTAAAGATCTCATTTTAACTTAATCACCTTTTCAAAGACCCTATCGCCAAATACAGTAAGATTCTGAGGTACTAGGGTTTAGGACTTCAACAAATGATTTTTGGGGGGACACAATTTAGCTCACAACAGACTTCCTATTGATACTATTTTTTAAATATTCTGTCTCCCCCTATCTAGAATGTTAGCTTCGTGAAAGCAAGGGGTATTGTTGTTGCCGTTGTTGTTCTATTTTAATATATACCTAACTTCTAGAACAATGCACAGCAACAGAATAGATGCTCAATAAGTAATAATTCTCGCCTATTGATGACTTCTTTCTTTCTGAACACTCCTTTTATCTCTGTAAATTTCTCTTAATATTTCATTGATTTAATGTCCCTCACTTCCAATTCTCTGTATTACCTTTCTAATATGCCTATTAATTGAAATTTGGATCTACTTGATCTTATTTGTCTTATTTTTGGTCATTCTGTTCTTTTTTTGGAAGATTTCTTCAACCTTAACTTCCAAATACTTCTACAAAATATTCTTTATCTTGATGAAAATATAGTTCATACCTAAGAACCCTTTTCTTCATCCTGTCTCATGGCGTTCTGTTATTGTTCTACGCGTGCTGTATCTTTGCTGATCTTTCTGCATTTATTAGGTCTTACTATGTGTCTTGTTTTCTGAGTTTCCTGTTTCTTCCTAGGTCATTTTTGTTGTTGTCGTTTGTTTATTTTGTTCTTGCTCTTACATGTTGCTTAAGGATTTTTCACCTAAAATTGTCTGGCAGGTTGTACATTTTTGTTGAATGGGACAATAAAGTCCCATTATTATAGGGGTGGAATTGTTTGCCTCGTGATGTCACTTTATGAGAAGCTGGCAGTTACCCTGGAGGTTCCCTTCCAGGTAAAATGTAGAGGTCTTTGGTTTTGGGGGCAAACACTTAGAGTGGCTGCCTTAGCTCTCCCCACACAATGTATTCAACTTCCTTAGATAAAAACTTTCCAACTTTTTACCTGGCTGCCTGACTTTGTCATATATGGGAGTATGTTTTTTTTTTTTTCTTAATGGTGATGTATTTTTTTAAGTTTATTTTTGAGAGAGAGAGAAAGAGAGAGAGAGAATGAACAAACAGGGGAGGAGCAGAGACAGAGGAAGAGAGAATCATGACCTGAGCAAAAATTAGGTATTAACCGACTGAGCCACCCAGGCGCCCCTCCATGGTTTCTTATATATGCTTTGAATCAGTATCTTTGTTTTCACTTTTTACTCCCATCGCATTACATCTGGTATTTCCTGGTCCCAAACTCTTCTGTAGTTCAACAGGTCAAATTATGCCCTCTGTGGCTGTTGTCCTCACCACGAGAGGCTCTCTCCACTCTGGTGATCTGCTGCCACTCCCCTATCTGCATGTCATCTTTCAGAAATGTATCAAAGATACTGTAACCAGTATCTTTGATTACTGTGTTAGCTAGTAATTCTGTCCTATTTATTGTTTTGAGTGCGTACATATGTATATATTTTTTACCTTATGTTTAAGAGTGTCTAGGAGGTTTCAGGAATGGAAACCTTGTCCTCAGGTTCTTTGTTTCGAGTTAGAATTCTTCGATCCTTTAATAATTGAGAATAGAGAATAAAATTTGAACTTATTTTGATCATGGGTTTCTTTATTATAGACCTCAGGTAATGGCCCATGCTCTAGTTGTTTAAATACAGATGTGAGACATGGGGCTGTCTGTACACTTAAATCTAGTATAGATTCTAGAACATGGATTTCTTTGAAGAAAAAAATCTTGAGTAGTAATTGCTCAGAGCCTATCACCACAGCAGCAGGACTAAGACTTTTCTAGTTTTCTCTCCCAGTAAATTACCTTACCTCCCACCCCCTCTTATTATCAAGGCTTTCTGTCATGAACTTTTATTTACCATAGAACATCCTAGTTCCCTGCTCATGCTCCCACATTGTTTAAGATGAAGAGTTGTAGTCCCATCTTTTCTGAAGCTCTTTCATTTGCAGTCTGAAGTCCTGGGACTGTTCTCCTGGATCTACTTTTACAAATATGTTCAAATCTTCCCCTAAAAAAAAAATTTAAAAAATGAAATAAACAAAAAAATACCTTCCTTTCCATCTTTTCTCAAAACTACACTTTTCATCTGGTGAAGCTGCCTTTATTTCCTTTCTAAGTTTTGCCTCCCTTTAAATATAAGTATTCTCTTAGTGCCTGTCCTTAGTCTACATATTTTCTGTACTTCTTTTTTTTTAAGTCTGTTTATTAATTTTTGAGAAAGAGAGCTAGTGAGAGAGAGAGAGAGTGAGCAAGCCAGGGAGGGGCAGATAGGGAGAAAGAGTCCCAAGCAGGCTCCGCACAGTCAGTGCAGAGTCTGATTTAGGGCTCAAACTCCTGAACTGTGAGATCATGACCTGAGCCAAAATCAAGACTCAGATGCTTAACAGAGCCGTCCAGTCACCCCAGGCCACTTATTTTCTTGCTCTTTTCCTGGGAAATCCTATTTACTACCATGACTTCAGCTATCACTGAACCCTAACTCCTTTCCTGAAGTTCAGATGTTTTCTTCTCACCTACCTATTAGTACCACTCAGTATATTCAAAGACAAACCCATTAACCATACTCTACCCCCATCCTCCTATTCTATTTTTTTATATTTATTTTTGAGAGAGAGCGAGCATGAGCACACAAGTTGGGGAGGGGCAGAGAGAGAGGGGGACACAGAATCCAAAGCAGACTCCAGGCTCTGAGCTGTCAGCATAGAGCCCAGTGTGGGGCTTGAATTCACAAACCAAGAGATCTTGACCTGAGCTGAAGTCAGATGCTTAATTCACTGAGCCACCCAGGCATCCCACCCATCTTCCTATTCTTAAAAAAACAAAACAAGGAACCGGTCAAACACTGCCTGTTTTCCCCATGTTTATTAATCTGATTATCATTTTTCTTGAGTCATCCAGGGAGACACTAGATATAAATAGTTGTAAGGCTGGAAAATATCCAAAGTTATTGCAGCCTGAGTTAGAGTAAGGTTAATTTCAAATACATAAGCTTCCTTGACCTCTGACTTCATAGTTTTCTTTTAACGCATCTAACCAAACTTCTTCATTTTCCTGGTTACACACAGGTCTGCAATTAAGGCCTTACGCCCTGGAGGGTTACTTGTTTACTCTACTTGCACACTTTCCAAGGCAGAAAATCAAGATGTCATCAGTGAAATTTTAAACTCCTACAGTAACATCATGCCCGTGGACATTAAGGAAATGGCAAGGACTTGCTCCCAAGACTTCACATTTGCTCCCACTGGCCAGGAGTGTGGACTCTTGGTGATACCAGATAAAGGCAAAGCCTGGGGCCCAATGTATGTAGCCAAATTGAAAAAATCATGGACTACGTGATATTGGTGACATGCATTTTGTAAGCCATGTCAGTGTATTATTATATTTGTTTTTCTGAGCTCTCTCTGTTTTAACATTTCAATAATTATGGAGTCATTTTCCCTGGGTCTATTTGGAATCCTATTTAGTTAATACTTGGCATCTCAGAATCTAGGCTTGAGAATTTTCCAGGTGTATTTTTTTCCCTAAAAATACATCTATAGCACTGGCTTAAGGTGTTACAGATGGTGTTTGTTCTGTATAATAAATCTGCTGTCTTTCAGTTGGCATTTTGTAGTTAAATTAATCAGAATACATGGTTTTATGCATAATATATTTAGGAATACATTCAATACCAATATTCATGATGTTGCTACTTTGAACCTTTAAGAATGCACATTTGCTGCCCTTTTATAATTTTTCTCCTTATCAAATATACAGATTCTTTTGAAGTCCCACCCCCCATCTTTTTCTGTAAGAACTAATCAGTATTCTGAGACTAACTTCTTAAGCAGCACTATTTCTAGTTCTAGAAAATAGGTTTCTTATTTGCCACGTTGTTTTCCGCTAAGGACTGTCTTCTGTTTACTGCAAAGGTCAGTGACTCTATTGACACCAGCTTTATTTCTCCACTTTTTTTTTTGTATTCACAGATACAAATTAAAAGGGTAAATTATGTTGAAAGGCTGTTAGAACAGCAGATTCACATGCACAAGTTTGACTTTCGACATTCAGCTTGTAGAATAATGGAGTCTATCCAGCAAGCTATAAAGCAAGTACTTGAAACAAAACCAGAATGATTAATAACTGCAATAACTGAACTATATTTGGAGAGTTTTGTTACATAATTGCAGCCATAATGAGCACTACAGAATCTGATTATCTTACAGTTGCAATCTGGAGGGGCTTTTTATTTCACTCCGTTATGAAATGTTATATGAGAGTATGATGTCACATATTAATGCACAAGAGGGAGATGCCTAATGAGAGTGGATTATACTATTACCAGAGCCCAGTACCATTTACTGAGTGGCTCTATCTGTTTACATATATCCTGGGAATATTGTGTACATTTCTGTATATGAACTTAGGGTTTTAGCTTCAGGTTTGGATCATGTGTTTTCTTTAGAAATTGCTTCACTTAAGAGTCCAAATGTACTTTTCCAACTATTAAGAAAAATTATGCAGTATGCTTCAAAAGAGAGTATCTATTTGGAAATTAACTTAAAAAAATAAACTGACTATAGAAATAGAAAATTCTGCTGAAGCTGAGTCTTTTTGAATTTTACTATATTCTGTGCATTTAAACTAGCAACTGCTCATTAACTGGTTGTTTTTGGGGTTTTTTTTTTTGTTTTTTAATTTGCAAGCATGTATAACCAGTTTCCTATAGCTGGGAAAGAAATACCAGATTTCTTGTACTCAATGAAATGTACTGGATTGCTACAGAAAATTAATGATAATGGAAAATTTGTTATTAATTTATTTACCTATTTAAGTTGTGCTTGTTTTTTTCAGATTGAAACCCTGTCGTCAGTTACTATAGATTTAAAAGTGCATTTATTCTGTGTAGGTTAATCACAAAGTAAATTTTCACAGTGCACTTTGCTGAATGTCATTATTTTACCATTATGCTGTCATGAAGCCTAATCTGAATACTCAGTGTGCCATTGGATTTGACTTCCCTAGGATTACTGGGGGGAAAAAAAAAAATATATATATATATATTATTAACATTAATTATAATTAAGCAGCTGGCATTTATGGAGCATCAAATATTATTAAGTTCTCTATATATATGTTACCTTTTTTGATCTTCAGAACAACTTGAGGAGTGAGTTTTGTAACTGCCTTATGTGAATGAGAAAACCCTAGCTCAGTGCCATTTGTACTACACTGGTAAGTAAAGAATGGAGCGAAGACGAAAACTAGCTCCAAAGGCCAGGCCCTTCTCCCTACACTATGTTGTACCATAAGATATAGTTTGTAGGAACCCCCCAAATTATCATCTGGCCCTCCCTTACTCTCCAGCACTCAGTTTTTCACTTGTATGCCATTGTTTAGTTACAGAGCATCAAAGTGTTCATCAATACTTGGGGGGGAAAACTAGTCTTTCAGGGCGTGTTCCAAAATACTTGTAATTGCAATACCCAGAAATCTCCCATGGAGGTGCTCTGTGCCTTCCTTTTTTTGCAGATGCTGAACTGAAGAATAGAACTTTGGAGCAGCCCTGCAATGTCAATTGAAAAGCAAGGAGTAATCGATATTACTTTCTGTGGCATTGAGTTACTTTCAAAATAGCTTTATAAAAATTTAGGTTGCTTACCAACACATTAACTTCTTTTTGCCTTCAGCACACTCTATAGCCAATAGATTCAGAAATAGACTGTGAATAAATGTAATGCATTTAAATGGTTTATACTGATTTTTTAAAGCACTGGATATTATCTGTGGTTTGGAATCAGGGCGGCCTACAGTCCTTTATCCTATTATATGTATCCATATAGCCTCATATTCAAGATTGCATGTTACCCCCTTAGCAGTATTGTAAAAAATATCCTTTCATACAATGTGAGTAGGTGTAACATAATAGGTACCAGAGCACTTGCTACATGACTAAATAAAGTAATCACAAATCTAATAGGCCCTATTCAAGAAGGCTTTATACCTAGAAGATAAGCATCAGATGATCTGCATAGGCTAATGCAGCTCTCCTGGAATACAAAGAGAAAATTGAAACCAATGGCAACAGTTTTATTAGATGCAAAGAAGTCCTTTGATGCGATTGAATGGGACTACTTGTATTATGTGTTAGGTAAATTTGGCTTTGGGGACAAATATAACAGATAGCACAACCCATTTATGTGGTTCAAATCAGTGGTTTACAATCTCCCTTTCCTTGCCTTATTGCTGCACTGGGGAGGAAGTAAGGATGGTACCCATTACTGATGTTACTTTTCAGGCTGACATTGGAGCTATAACATCAGCCAGATCCCGTGGGTATCTGAAGGATATCCAGATGAAGGTTCACAAGTTAAGTAATGTCTGCTGATATCCTACCAGTTGTGCTGAACGTCCTAACAGCATCTGTCCTGAAAACATTACAAGTAATGTCAGAATGTGAATTGGCTTCAGGCTGCAAAGTCAATGGGAGAGAATCAGAAATACTATCTTAACAGAATAGTTTCTATTAATAGTACTTACTGCGTGACATTTAAAATAAGATGAAAATTTAACAAGAATTGATTTGAAATTCTCATGAGGGGCTGATTAAACAATAGAGTAAAAAATTTTTTTTAATTGACTTGTAATTTACTGCTAAGATTTTTAAAAAGTTGGTTTCTCTAAATCTAAGGAGGAAGAAAGCCTGGTAGAGTATAGAGCTCTTTAAAATTTAATTAGCTCTATCAAATATTAGCTCCATACATTTCTGTAACTTCACAAATGAAAAAAAGTAATTTCCTTAGTTATGTGAGATCATATAGTGATGCTGAAACTGGGTAAATCATATGCTACTTTAGAAAAAGGGCTTTTTGCCTCCTTGGAAGCTATTAGATGGCACACGTCATGACTCAATTAAGCTTGCTATGGCTTGTCAAAAGGAATTTTCTGCTGCATGTTGCTATGGAAGAGCCTATTACACACAAATAACTGTACAACCTAGGAGAATCAAGAGTCTAAAAACGTATAGCCTATTGAAAAATAAGAAGCAGGATCCAGCTTCTTCCTAGTTCTTAAAAACAAGTAGGAGTAAAATTGCAGGTGTTAACAAGAATATACTAAGTAAGAGGGATTACTGTTGATGATAGAAAAGAGGGAATGAACTTATTTCAACTTGTAATTATTAAGTTACAGAGAGAAAGGCTAATAGTTATTCATCCAAACGAAGTGTTAATAGCCTTTCCAAAACAGTAAGCATGTTTCTCCTACCATTACATTAATCATGGGAGTGAGAGAGAAATGAGAAAACTAAGGAACCAGTGCTGACTCATGAACTAGTGTGAGTAGGAATGGATTGCTGTGGGCTTATAGCTCTTAGCTGCCAACTTTTTTTTTATTAAGTTTACTTATTTTGAGAGAGAGAGTGAGAGCATACATGCATGCAGAGGAGAGGCAGAGAGAGGGGAGAGAGCCAAGCAGGCTCCTCACTGTCCGTGCAGAACCCAGTTCAGGGCTTGATCACACAAACTGGGAGATCATGATCTGAGCCAAAATCAAGAGTCAGATGCCCAACTGACTGAGCCACCCTGGTGCCCCCATAACTGCCAACTTTTAAAAAAAAGGAAAAGGAAACATGGTGGCAATTAGCTCTGATGCTAGTAGAAATTGTTCTGTATGATATAGCCATGAATAGCCAACCAGCTATCCTACATTTCCACACTGTTAGATATCCCTCTTGACTTGATTATAAAAAACTCCAGTGTAACTCCTAAGTTATAACAAATGTGTTTAATAAGCAGAATAGACATTCACAAACTGCCTGTGCTCTTCATTTGAGAAAGACTGGTTTTGTCCTTTATTCTAGGACAGCTAATCTCTGCTAAATCTTCTGTATGAAGCTAGAACTATGCCTGTAGACACATTATTTTCAACTAGCTAGTTAACCTGGCTATATAGGGTTAATAGGGTTCTTTTTCACCCTACTGGTATTGAGTTGACTGAAGCAAGTGGATGGAGTTTTCAAGAGAGGTTTAAGTAGGATCTGGAATATCACTCTGGGGTAGGGTCTAGATTGAGTCAGTCAAGCATGTTTCACAAAGAAAGGACACTATAGTAGACCTAAAGGGTTTTAGGATACATTGCCATTAGGAAGCACCTTACAACTCCATACAAAGTTTTTGTGTTCATCTACCTGCTCACACTCTGCATTCACTGAGGACTTTAGGGTCTAGCTCATATCTCCTCCATTGGAACTCCTGACAAAGGCTAAATTCAACACCAATGGAAAGCCCATCCAGTGTCCCTGCTTTTCTGGTTCCTTTACTGCATCTCTCTCAATGCCTTTTGTCTTCATTGTCTTCAGAGTCTCACACTCTTGGGCATTTCCTAAAACTTGGCATTATCTAGAGCCATACTCTGCAATGGAGCTTTCTACATGATGGCAGTTTTAGCTGACCTGTGCAATAGGGACAGTATGGTAGCCATGCATGGCTACTGAGCACTTGAAATGTGGCTAGTGTGACAGAGGAGCAGAATTTGTTTTTTAAAATTATTTTAAATATAAGTAGCCACTTGTGGCTATTGGCTACCATATTGGACAGCACAAATCTAGATTTCTCTACTTAGGAAAATTTAATGTCAGTACCCCCTGTCCTTCCAACTTTATCTTACTCCCTCATTCTCATTAAAACTATAACCCAATTTCTGGGGCGCCTGAGTGACTCAGTTGGTTAAGTCTGACTTAGGATCAGGTCATGATCTCATGGTGTTTGGGTTTGGGCCCCACATCGAGCTCTGTAATGACAGCTTGGAGCCTGGAGCTTGCTTTGGGTTCTGTGCACGCCCTACCCAGTCCCTCCCCTGCTTACACTCTGTCCCTCTGTCTCTCTCAAAAAATAAAGAACACTAAAAGAGCACCTATAATCCAGTTTCCCTGACACTTGTAGTTTTTAAGACTTCATTCCCTTAAGCCTATTCATTCCTCTTTTGCTCTCCTTTCCTTATCTATCATACTAAACACTATGATTGATACCTTAAAACTTTTTTCGAGCAGTGCTTTTATCTCCTCATACTTTAGGATTCTACTGCCTCTGATATTTAAAATTGCAACTCCGGTGCTCACTTCGGCAGCACTATACTAAAATTACAACTCTGCATTAGTCCAGTAGTTCCTGAATCTGCCTCTGTCATACCTAGATGGCTAAGCATTGTTCAGGAAAAAAACAACAACCATATAGCAGTGCAGATTTATCGCATTACATATTCTCAACACCTGTGCAGATTAATTTCATTACAGATTGATGTTCACCTGCCTCCCCTAAGACTGTTACACTGCTCAATAACTTTGGTTATTCTTTGGCCAACTTCCCTTTCCGTTCCCATTAGTGACTTTCCTGAACTTCCACTATTGTCCACAACTGTTCTATATAAACACTCTCCTCCTCTCTCTCAGAAGATGCTCCTGCCTCCTAGTTTCTTTTTTTTTAATTTTTTAAAATTTTTATTTGTTTTTGAAACAGAAACAGAGCATGAGTGGGGAGGAGCAGAAAGAGAACGAGACACAGAATCCAAAGCAGGCTCCAGGCTCTGAGCTATCAGAGCCTGATGCGGGGCTTGAACCCATGAACTGTGAGATCATGACCAGAGCTGAAGTCGGATGCTTAACCAACTCAGCCACCCAGGTGCCCCTACTGCCTCCTTGAGAAAATTGTGGCCATCGGAATGAATGTCCTTAATCTTTCTTCATGCATATTTCTCATTTTATTTGGAAGCACCTCAGTCCATCTGGCCTCACAAGCTAGAAACCTGGGAGTTCAATTTTTCTCTTTAATTTTTTTTCACTCTTACCTCTAGAAAATAACCAAGTTTTACCCTTTTTTATATTTCTTTCTTAATACCATTTTGTGTTGCCTTAGTTAATGCCACGTGAGCTATTGAATTTTTTTTTTCCCAGTTCTTCCCAATTCGTACCTCCTGCCTCACACTTCACAATCCACACTCTCTGTTGCTGCTGAAGTTCTCTTCAGACAGCAAAATCCCATCATGGCATTACCCTGTTTAAAATTCTTCAGTGGCTCCCTTTTGCCTACAGGATGAAATTTGAGCCCTTAACATTTCATGCTATGTCATATTTCTTTGAGATCTGTATCTTTCTCTCTCATTGTTACTCTCTTTCACACACACAGACACACAATTACATCCTCTTTAACTCCATCAAAATTTGAATACTCATGTTGAGGAAACCTAATATCACATTGTATGAAGTGCTCCAGATTATTGGTTGGGATATCCTTTAAATAACTTGCCAGCACTTCGTCTCTATAATTAGCTAAGGTTCTAGAGGACTTGAGGTTATTTTTTTCAAAGTTGATCTAGAGTTTTTAGAATATAGTCTTCTCGTTCTAACATGCTTACCTGAAAACAATATAGGCATATTTTAGGCTGCAATGCTTTGGTTTTCCATAGTGAATTGAAAGAATAGTCCAATCATTTTCAAAAGCTTATGCATTGGACTGAGAGATGTAAATTAAATAGAGAACCTACTATATTATGAGCATGCTTAGGCATGCATACAGTGTGGGAAAATTTTAAAATGAAATAGGCTCAATAATAAGGTTGGAATGCCAATGGATAAATCCATATTTGTCTTCTAGAGGATACTTCAAACCTACAAGGAATATCCAAGGGCAGAACAGTAGATGAGAATGTCTTAAAATAGAAA